CACTCCCCGCCATACACCGCTGCCCTGCTGTTAGGCTTTTGAGCCAAAGGCTTTGGTTGGGGACCCTAATCATCCTCCTATTTATGTGTGGGCTTCCTGGCAGTATCCCAGCCCTCGTACAACCACGACATACACAACTAACAATACTCTCATGCCACATCGGCCGTCGCATGTACGGAAGTGAAACATCGGTGCCAACACTGATGTTGCTGTCTTTGATGATGATGATGATGACTAAACGACGGTTTTTACTTGAGTTTACCCATGAAAATCGGTTAAATTCTACACCGGATGGGGGGGGGCATGTTCTGAATAGTCATACTTATTCCGGAATGATCAGCGATCGAATGCTGAGCCTCACCATCAGTAGATAATGATCGGTGTAGCTCCAGTCACCTAATGGTAAGGTGGCGCCAGGTAACAGCGGCTTCAACTGCCCCCCCCGTCCCCACTTCCAGTGCCGCTGAAGAACAATTGGTAGTCAGCACAAAGTTACGAACCATTATCATTACGTCCAAACTAAACGTGCCACCAAAGTCTTATGTGAGCTTGACTGAGGCACCCTTCGTGTGCATGAAAATCCTTGGCGATTGACGCAAAATCTGAACTCTGATTAAACGCCAATTTCTTGTTAAGATGCTGATTAAATCAGCGTTTTGGTTGGTTGGTGAATAAGCAGAAATTTTAGGCTAACAGCGGATATCATTTTAACTGCTGTGATTTCTTATTGCAGCAGGCAGGCGAACGACAGAAGCGACCATTATAGGCATACAAATAGACAAAGAAGTCTCATCTCAGGAGTTGAGAGCTATGCCAACACTGATGCAACTAGCAGTTGAAGAATCACTTGGATTTCATAACCGATAGCATATGGATAACGAAGTTGCCCTAAGTTCAATTCCGTTGCTTGGATCTTCTCTTCGAGTTCCAAAGGTCCAGCAAACGTTCATTGTCAAAGTGTGAAGATTGGGCACGAGACCAGTGTGCTTATGAACCAGAGTGTGTAATCGGGAATACTTGCTTGGGTTAGTGAACACAAATACCCAGATGTGAGCAGTGGCATGTAAGCAGTACTCCCAAAAGTACCTGATTGATGTATCAACAGCTTAGATCTACGGAACCATAAGTGTTAAGTGGGATGTGATAGGATTTGAGAAAGAATGTTGAAAAAGGATGGACATCGCCATTAACCTCATGTTTTCACTTATTCGCCCAATGTGTGCAGCGAACGAGGGAAACCGACTGACTTTACCACGCGACAACCGATGTGGCGTGAATGCATTTTATTTGTCATTTATGGCCGAAACTCCTAGGTAGTCCGGACCTAGACAAGAAACCGACTAGAGGTCTCAACCACAAGATTTAGTTCAACAGTCTGGACACAAGGCAGCGGGAGTTAATTTAAATTAGAACAGTCCGGGTTTCATGGAATAAATTACCACACTTATCCCAGCCCCCAACTCGTCGGACCAGGAGATTTTTTTCAGGCCTCATAGATTGACCAACCTGATAGGAGTGACTCTGGATACTGCATAAGCAATTTACGGTATAACCACCCGGCCTGTCACACCATGACGAGATTCAGTATCCCCTAGCAAATCCCGTCAAAGGCATTCATGCTAGCATTGGTCAACTGTCACCAGCTGGGACGCTTTTGAGTGATTCATTTGGTCCGAAAGTTCTANAACCACCCGGCCTGTCACACCATGACGAGATTCAGTATCCCCTAGCAAATCCCGTCAAAGGCATTCATGCTAGCATTGGTCAACTGTCACCAGCTGGGACGCTTTTGAGTGATTCATTTGGTCCAGAAAGTTCTAGCCCAGATACTTTGAGCGGTTCAGGTCACCAGTTCCTGTGGGAAAACGCTTGATTTAACAATCACCACTCTGTATTTGGGTGCCTGAATTTTTTGGCATACCCTTGGTTACGCTGATCATACCGTAACTAGGTATGGATAGTAGGGTAACGTAAAAGACGGTCCCTTATGCTGGACCACGCGGTTGTGCAACGTATGTGCATTTTGATGCCGCTAATCGACAAGATATACAACGCTAATAGGTTATCAGAAACCCTTGTTTTGGTTAATTGCCAGAAGGACTCTAGGGCGAGGCTAACCACCATGCTTGACTACCCAGCAGAACAACATGGGACACTGTCCATTGCGCCAGTTCAAATGGCTGCGATCCAACCGAGCGACACGATTGTGACTGGCTTTACACACAATCCAACTGTTAAACGAACGTACCTAGAACCTTACTATCACTGAGCATGAAGCAGCAACCGCTAGTTGGGGCGTCAGATTAGCGTGTCTATGAGGAAAACGTGAAACTGATAATCAGAACGTGCTTTATGTGTAAGCTCTCATTAGCCAGGGACACTTGGAAACAACTACATCTTATGCGTACTGTCTGTGCGAAACCACCAGGTGCCAGCGAATGAACGTCTGGGGTAGATGGTACTACAGTGTGGTCTCCATCTTCATCTAAATAGCCTGACGGAGCACTCTCACTGGCAGTTTGGCCCCCCACAGCCGCCAACTCGCTCACGGTTAAGGTGGAGGAAATCTGGTTTATTTCCAAATTCTACACAAGAGAGAACAGGTGAATCACACTCCAAAGCTCAATGAATTGTCTGGTCCCGATCACCCCTTGGCTATCCTAGGACTGAAGCACTATGCGCTGTTCTGAAATGCTTGGTTTCCCGGGCGTTTACTGAGTCGTTTGTTTCTCCTATTTTCAAGGAGGCTTCGCGTAAGAGTTGTACCGACGAACGGGCGTAAACTTGATTTTGTAGTAGGTTGTTTGTCAGACGGTGCGTATGGAGCAGGCTGGTTTCTGCACAAACCGTAGTTTTTTTTCATCGAATCCTCGGTCTTTGTCAGCCGTTAGGACCATGTTACACGTGCCGCAGATCATTGGAGATATTACGTCAGCATTTCTCTTGGTTTGACTATTCTATGCAAGCGTTTGCTGAAAGGTGGCGTACTTGGCAGATGTATGCGAATCCTAACTGACCCTACACTACTTGTTTTCCATGTCTTAAATTCCGCCGTGCTTTTTGTATTTTCATTATCGTTGAATCACCACCATCAATATTGACAGAAACATTAGAAGAGAACACTGATGTTTCATTGCTGCGTGTCAGGTTATTTGAATAAAGCCTTACAATGGACGATGAGGTGCACCTAAGGTCGGCCTACCAGGAATATCCGAGGTGCCTACACCTCCAACACTGTCAGGCAGTCTGGATAGAAACTGACAGCACGAACGCCGGTGACATCGGTTAGCCACTGTCTTTAATTACATTCTCTCAAATACAGAGCGTCATCGCGCGACATCCTGGAAGGTCAACAGCACCGAGACTTATCATAACGTCGTTCGTCCCCCTCTGCCACGTCATGTTTTGTCCATCTCTAGGTTTCCGCCACTCCGAATTAGGTACGGAAAAACGGCGCTCGCTCCCGTAGGCGATAGCTCGGTTTGTTCAACAAATGGCTCAGCCATCTTAGTTCGCAGTGCTGGATATGTTTCTATTAAAATGACTTCCGGTTCACCAAAGATCCGTTTTCCTATCACCCCGTTACGAATTCGCTTGTTCCGATTCATTTGTGGTTGGTCAAATACCGCAAGAGTCACCCCCCCCCCACGGGTCTGTTCCACCGACCAGTCGGTTGCGCACGTGATTAGTGTACGAGACAGACGACGGTGTTACTGTCGTACATGCACTACACCACACCATTGACCAGATAGGGTTTGATATATACGTACTTCTTCACTCTTCCCCATGTTATTTATTTGCGACGTTGTTTGGTGTTGAGGAAGCAATGGCCCCCTTTCACTGTTAACCAACAAAATAAACCAGTCTTTGAGCCACAGTATTGTATTCTTCTGTGTACGTTCTGTCTCAGTTGGTCGAACTGAAAGAACAAGCTGAAGAAAGCAGGATAGTTGAAATACTGCCAATCTAATCAACACTCGACAAGTTTGGGTTTGAAACAAACATGCAATCAGGTGATCACTCCGTAATCTGTAACACTACGGGTGAAGCTACTTTACAATCTAATTCCATCCTTCAGTAGACTGGTGCTTTTGATTATCAATCGTATCTGCATGCATCGAGGTGGTTATAAGGCAAATTCCGATATATTTCTTTTTCATACACTTGCTTTACGTTTATCTGCAGACTGTGATTACACACGTCTATTCTTGATTCCCACATAGATATTCCATCTCTTGACTCTGTTCCAAGGACTCGTCTTTCCTGGGTAGAACGGCTTAGTGGAAGACGGTCTGGCTATGATTCTCCGAGTTTGTTTGTACGCCTGAGGCATAAACGCAATTACGAGAAGCGGAAAAACGACAGAAAGTTCCAACAGCATGGTGACAGCTCTGACTCCCCACAAGCCGACAACTTCTCAAAGGCGGAAGCTTTTATGGACTAGTCTTGATGTTCACAATGTAATCTGTCATTCTTTCAATCAGTTCATGTACTTAGGGAGTCTATTTTTTGGTCAGCATGATTACGTGCTTCCTACAGCAGATGCTTTTCTGCTGTCAGTGCGTTGGCCCATTCCATCGGATCTCGGCGAACAAACTATATAGATGACGTCCTGATTTGAATATCTCTGTGCCACAAAGCCCATATCATTCACCTACATGCAACTACGCAGATATATGTTCTCTGTACAATCCTTCACAATCTCCAACTACTTGTTTTGTTCTGTTATTGTACATATCTCCAGGCCTCAACAATTAATACCCATCTCTCTGACTAACATTTCCGCGAAATCATGGGCAAATTTCGTCATTCATCTCGGATAATTTAGCCTAGTTTTGAAAACCGTTTCGGTACCGTTCACCAGTCTTCGAATATCCATACCGGTGTGCTATTTCACTGAAGCGACTCAAGTTTGGGTGCTATGTCTGCATACCATCTCGTGTTTCGGCTTTAGGACCAAGCCCGTTCGTGTAGGAACGCAAATTAGACCGTAATCACCGAAACTATCATTGAATTAAGAAAGCGTGTGACGGACGATTTTTCTGGATTAACATCTACTCCCCTTGAAAGTCGTTCATCGGATTCGGAGATCATTCATAATGCAACGAAATAATTGGTTAAGTGATTAGCACACATTGGTCATGTGGAACTCTTTTCAACATTTTCGAAGAGCAAGTTAATTGATGTGAGCACTTCCCGGTGATTATTATCAAGCAAAGCAGGTTGATAAATTGCTTTGGATAGCGGTTCGCTGCGTTGACTGTAGGATGAGGTTGAGCAGTCAAATCGGTTGGGTCATGCTGGCTTCCGTGGTGACTTATCAGATTGTGTGATTCAACTGACCGTCGTGTGATGAAAACTCTGGAATTTTCAAAATAGATTTCGTCTTTTCAGTTAAACCAATCCTTGTGGAGAACTATTTCCAGCTGTTTTATCCTTAGTTGGAATCATCACCGCGCATCTCATGAAACTCCAGAGATTTTTGAACCCGCGACCTACCCAACAAGGACGAAGCTGGGTGTGCACTGCTCCTCGGCCTTTTAGCATAGACTGACTTCACTTATCGGACGACCTCTCCATTATCTGACTAGATGATGTAACCAGCTGAAGAGACTACCACCGGACACCCATCATTCGTGATGTAATCGAGTAATTGGTTCTTCTGGTCGATTCCATCGTGATTGCAGACAGGTAAAAGGTCTGTTGGGCCATTTTTGGTTGCGCCGCGGCTAGCGATTTTTCAGCAGTTTTCTGTGCCAAGTCTAGGTTAGAACATGTACAACATATATCCAAAGATTCAAGGCGTCGAAACCGCGCGCCTTCGTGTTCGTACTTTGGATACGTTAGAAGGAGCAATAAAACCTGTAACTAGCTGACTGTCTCAAGGAGTGTTGGTGAAGAGAGGGCGAACTTCCACAGAATTCATAGGTCTCTCAAATGTATTCAGGATATTCGGGGGGAGGGGATGTTATCCTTCAAGGAAAACGGTGTTAGCTGTGAACATGCGATCTGACGTGCGCAACTGTTTGCGATTATTTGGCACAATGAGTGAGGCTAAAGTATCCGTCGGAGTGAAGTCTCCCCTCACGGCGAACCTCACCACTCTCATCGTAACATCTGCATATCTATCTGCCTAATTTCGTCTACTTCAAGAAACCAGGGAAACTGCTCTTGGGAACCGTCAAAGAAGTTTGCCGGACAGTCCCGTTTCATATCGTCTATCGGTTTATTTGCAGCTGTACGGATGTCGGATATGTGGTGACCACTATTCCATGTGTACATTTTTGTTCGTTTCGAATGCGGACGGTTAGCGAAACGCTGACACCTTCCGACATTTGTCCTATCTCTTCGGTAAACATCCATGAAGCGGAATGCTTCAATTGATGCGAGCACTCGAATAAAACGTTTCACCGGTTCAAACCTATCGTATCTTCGAGGCCTGGCGTTTTTATATTAGCTTATACTTCTGTTGTCAGACTCAGCGGGCTGTGACAAGCAGTGATTACTACTTGTAGGTCAATTCGCAAAAAGCTGATTGGTTATCCCTTTTGAACAAATATATCCTCCAGCCGTTCTTATTGGGATTTCAGCGTATCTTTCGAGCAAATTCTAAATTCTATCGATGGTGCACCTGTGATTTTAAGAAACGTGGTTCTCAAGCTAAACATGTTCTCTGCTGCATGTCTCCCTTCTGTAGACTATACTCAGAAGTGTGATCGTGTTTCCTAAACGCTCAGGAACTCGCCATTTGATAGAAAGTTGCGTAATATTCTTACCACAAAAAGTCGGTGGTATCATCACATTTTCGGAGGTTCGTTCTGATTTGTCATTGATGCCGGACAGTTGAATTTGGTCGCCCGTGCAAGTTATTTTTGAGCACAGAGGTCAGGTTACCTCAGTTGGATGGATGTGTGGCTGACGGCGGATTCGAGTGCTCCTACGGACAACAACCATAAATAAGAACGGACTGAAACGTCACCACTAGTTTCGGTCTGCGACGCAACTTGCGACACAAAAATGACTACTTCAGGAGAAGTGCGCGGAAATGACTGAGATTCCTACTGAAATTAGGTCGCGAGAGATCAGAGGGGACGAGAGTATCTCCTCACGGAACCATACCGATAGACCACTGTTATTGCATTATCAGACCAAGAACAATAAATATTCTTGCAATAGCGACGCCAAAATACAGCACGTATATCAGTATAACCAAGCGTACTAGAAATTTAGAGTTCAGCACGGCGTAACAAGTAGCACTTGTTTTCAAATTGATGCGTGTATACAGCACTTTGAATAGTAAAACAAGAAAATAATGAATATAGTGTCAATCATGTTCATCACACCACTCTTCCGGTTCTTAATGAGAAAAAGTGTTGCAAATGAGAACATCTTTAACCCGGCCATATTCTACACGGACATTCTAGCTGAGTCAAGTTTATCACTCCATTTGACTAGCTTTGAATGATTCTGCTCACCTAAAAGTTTCCAGGTATCAGACATAGACCTAAGCGTGCTAGCCAAAACATAGCATTTAACCATATGGCGGATCCTGAGGACAGTTCAGCTGATTGTACCAACTGGCGATTGAATGATGCAAAATTGCGAATGGATGTCGATACATCAAATACAATTGGGTTAGCAGAGAATTTCAAAACAATTTGTACACAGAGATACTCTAAGTTCAGGGGTCTGCCTCGAGCAGCAAGCTCAGTATATTGGAATTATGCTTGACCAGTAAACCTTTTTACTGCCGCTTGCTTCAAACACCTCTTCCGATGCTTACGTACCTACCACACATCGGTACCTTACATCTTCACCAAAAGTAGGATGAACAATTATCAGCTCCAGCGCCAAGCCGCGTAGCCAGCGGCCACCGAAGTGTCGCACAGCGGTAGGAGTGGATCCTCAGTGCATTGTTTCACAGCATTAATAACATTCATTCCTGTTATATGGGCAGATTAGCGAGGACATCCTCGTACTTTTCGCATCCACTGAATGACCAGGCTGTCTTGTCAACAACAAAATTACATATTTATTGCTGCAATTTTGGGGTTTCGCGGGATAGGTATTTTTGTCCATATTCACACCACTCTCGCTTGAACGGTCGTGTTCCTGTTCTGGCGTAATTACTCCGGTAAGTCCACACTGAAGGGAAGCACCGGACTCGAGTTTCGCTCTTATTAGAGCTCATCAGCAGTGCATATCCAATGACCGTGCCGGGATTTGAACCCCGGACATCTGACATGCGACGCGAGCGTGTAACCACTACTCCACCAGCGCACGTTGGACGCGTCTGAATTATCATGTCTGAACAGGTAAACGTGTTCACACTTGACCGATGTGATTGGTGTGCCCGACTCATCGAACGACGACCCAGTAACTGTCCTGGTTTTGACGATCGATTGACCCGCCAGTTAGGACTTCCCAGTCAGGTAGCGTGACACACGCTTGAAACCCACTGGACAGCTTTTTGGTTGCAACTTTGGGGTTTTGCGGGATAGGTAATTTTGTTCATATCCCGGCGCGGCCATTGGATATGCACTACTGATGAGCTCTAATAAGAGCGAAACTCGAGTCCAGTGCTTCCCTTCAGTGTGGACTTACCGGAGTAATTACGCCAGAACAGGAACACGACCGTTCAAGCGAGAGTGGTGTGAATATGGACAAAAATACCTATCCCGCGAAACCCCAAAATTGCAGCAATAAATATGTAATTTTGTTGTTGACAAGACAGCCTGGTCATTCAGTGGATGCGAAAAGTACGAGGATGTCCTCGCTAATCTGCCCATATAACAGGAATGAATGTTATTAATGCTGTGAAACAATGCACTGAGGATCCACTCCTACCGCTGTGCGACACTTCGGTGGCCGCTGGCTACGCGGCTTGGCGCTGGAGCTGATAATTGTTCATCCTACTTTTGGTGAAGATGTAAGGTACCGATGTGTGGTAGGTACGTAAGCCTCGGAAGAGGTGTTTGAAGCAAGCGGCAGTAAAAAGGTTTACTGGTCAAGCATAATTCCAATATACTGAGCTTGCTGCTCGAGGCAGACCCCTGAACTTAGAGTATCTCTGTGTACAAATTGTTTTGAAATTCTCTGCTAACCCAATTGTATTTGATGTATCGACATCCATTCGCAATTTTGCATCATTCAATCGCCAGTTGGTACAATCAGCTGAACTGTCCTCAGGATCCGCCATATGGTTAAATGCTATGTTTTGGCTAGCACGCTTAGGTCTATGTCTGATACCTGGAAACTTTTAGGTGAGCAGAATCATTCAAAGCTAGTCAAATGGAGTGATAAACTTGACTCAGCTAGAATGTCCGTGTAGAATATGGCCGGGTTAAAGATGTTCTCATTTGCAACACTTTTTCTCATTAAGAACCGGAAGAGTGGTGTGATGAACATGATTGACACTATATTCATTATTTTCTTGTTTTACTATTCAAAGTGCTGTATACACGCATCAATTTGAAAACAAGTGCTACTTGTTACGCCGTGCTGAACTCTAAATTTCTAGTACGCTTGGTTATACTGATATACGTGCTGTATTTTGGCGTCGCTATTGGAACAATTCATCATGATTACCGAAATGGAACCATTAAATGTTAATTCAACTGCTCGAGACATAGAGGATCAGTTGGAACGATTCGACACATGGTGTCTTACAAAATTCGATAAGAATATTTTCTGCGTTTTGTTGGCAAAGAGGTGTACACATTGATCAAGAATTTAGTATATCCCGAAACGATAT